TCCAACCTAATAGCGATGGCTTCCAACCTAATAGCAATGGCCTCCAACCCAATAGCCATGGCCTCCAACCCAGTAGCGCTGGCCTCCAACCTAGTAGCGATGGCCTCCAACCTATATAATAGGGATGGCCCAGTAACAATAGCCTGCAACCTAATAGGGATGGCCTCCAATCTACTAGCGATGGCCTCCAACCTACTAGCCTAGCCTCCAACCTACTAGTGATGGCACTTTGCGAGCCAGTGAGGTCTTGCATTCTTCTGGTGACATCTTCTTGAAAGCTCGCGACACTGAGAACTGGCCTCCTGTCGTATATCGGCTGGATCCGGCAGGGCCGCATCTGCCTTCGCAAAACAATCCGGGAGTTTTGCAGTTCGAGGTCTGCTTGTGTGTGGTCTTGGCATCGCTGCAACTGAGATCTCAACCGATGACGCTTCTACCATGCCCGCCTCAGTGTCAAAGCAGTATGAAGCACTCATGCGGTTCCTGAACTCATGGCGTGCTTCGAAGGCAAAAATGCGGTTCCTGAGCGGTGTGGCGATGGGTCACCAAAGAGGCGATCGCGACCATTGCCCATGTGGAGTTCGAGGAATCACGCACAAAACATGTCCGGGCTGAGCGACTTTCTGGATTTGACCGTCCGACTCCACTTGGGGAGCATTCTCAGTTTTCATTGAGTTCGACTCAACTTCTTCATGGCTGGACATCTTGATCCCGATGCAGTCAGCTTCTCTAAGAATGAGCCAGGCTGCCAAAAGTCATAATTTTCAAGGAATCACAACATGAGGTTTTGCTTTGGAAATGGGTAAACAAAATATTCCAATTACAGCAAATGTCCCGGGTCTACATCCCAAGCATGTTCAATCCATGTCGATTATGATGATCCAAGTTAAATTCTCTGGCTCACCATGTCCATCCTCATGTCCCCTCATCCAAGTGACTGGTCAAGCGTGGTGTGCCAAAATTCAAGCCCTTAAGAACTTGGAGAAAACTCCGGTGCAGCACTTCGGCGGATCTTTCCTCTGAAGCCAAGCGTTTGGTGAAACGTCTCAGATTTCCAACGGAAGAGCCCGAAGGGCTGGCGGCTCAGCGTTTGTTCCAAGCGTAGTTGGACTGTGAGCCAGGCCTTCCTGCCCTCGGGAGTCTGAGCGATTTAGAATACATTGCAGAACAGCCTCCTTATGTTGAATTCACCCAAAGGTTGCCTCAATCTACTACAGGTATCTACAAGGTTTAAATGATGAGAAGAAACCATGTCAGTGGCATCTAGGTGACAATGATTACAAGATTATATGATAGTATAAAATTCAGTATAATATAGTATAGTATATGATATGTTCGAGACTGCTGGGGAAGGCTCACGATTCTCGAAGCATCTCCAGGCTCTTTCCAGGACTTGACTGAGGCCACCACATTGACGACATCTTTTGCCGTGTGTCCTAGCCATTGGGTCTGTTTTGGATTTGGCACCCACAAGAGGTTTGGCACATCAGTGATCCAGGATACTGTTCTTTCTACGCAAGGTTTCAATCTCTCTCTCTCTCTATCTTTCTCTCTCTATTACTGTAGGTTGGAGGCCATTGCTATAGGTTTCTTCTCTCTCTCTCTCTCTCTCCCTGTCTCTCTGTCTCTCTCTCTCTCTCTCTCTGTCTGTCTGTCTGTCTGCCTGGCTGCCTGTCTGCCTGTCTGCCTGTCTGCCTGTCTGCCTGTCTGCCTGTCTGCCTG